TCTATGAAAGCCAATATGGCCAAGATGCAAGAGGACATTAAACTCTTAACACTGGAAAATAATCACAACAACCAATACAGTAGGAAGGGACATCTTCGCATATTGGGCATACCAGACGATGGCAACAACATTTCTGAAAAGTGCATTGAAAAGGTAGTGATAGCTGTGAACAAAAACATGGATGGAGACTGTCATTTGAAAGAAGATGACATCGAAGTTGCCCACCGCCTTCCAAATCCGAAACATCAGGAGGACAAACCTCGACCTATGATTGTTCGTTTTTTATCCAGGAAAGTAAGGGACAATCTGCTACGTAAACGCAAGGCCCTTAAGGGCAAACCACTAGTTATCATGGAGGATTTGTCCCCGGGAAACAGATCTTTGCTGTGGAGGGCAAAACAACATGCCGATTCAAAAGACGTGTGGGCGCACAATGGTAAAGTATGGACCACACGATCATCAGACAATCGAAAAATCCAATTGGATATATTGGATAACCTAGATGACAAACTTAGAAACTAAAGGGTTAATCCTAGACAGTAGGGATAGCATGATTATCCTAAATGAACTATACCTAATTAACAGACAGTATTTGACTGTTGCCTTTCATATTTCCTTTGAACCCTTTGATATGATCACAATCATAATGAACACTTGACTATGTTGGCCTCACAGCTGATCTGATGAATAGAACTTTATGATGCTTTTATCTGTTTATAGTACTTTAATCCTGTATCAGGAGATAATTTCTTAAGACATTATTCTTGCATTTGAGAATTTTTTTTTAACTTACACTTAATCACTCATTAATTGCCATGTATGATCAATTTTACCAACTTGTTTAATGATTTGAGTAATCAGGAGCTCAACATTAAGCCAATATTCTTTATGAACTTAAAAACTCTCATTTATTGCAGGATGCACACATCACTGTTATCTGTGTCGGCCTCCCCCTCTCTCTCCATGATTGCATGTACAGTATTTTGGATCTTTGATCCTGGATAATAACAATGCTGATGTGCCAGGTCTCTGGGATGAATTGCCTTTTGCAAATGCCATGATTGATGTGGTATCTCTTTATACACAATGTGACAGTTTTGTTTTTAATGCACGCGATTTAAATACATTTGCAATTGATAATTTAGAAAACAACCAATTAGATGCACAATTAGAGAGTAATATGAATTCTTGTAATTACCACGAATCACTACATGATATTAATCTTCAATTTAAGGAATCTAATTCTGAACTGAACGTACTACATATAAATGCCAGAAGTTTAAATGCACACAAATCTGACATCTTTGGGCTAATGGCACAATTTGATAAAGATTTTTCAGTTATAGGTTTCTCAGAAACATGGTTGAATCATAGCACAGAGTCACTATGTAAACATTTCAAATATGATAGCTATTTTGATCATCGGGATAATAATGGTGGTGGAACAGCACTTTTCATACACAAACACCTTCAATGCAAAGAAAGACCTGACTTAAAATTAGAACATGAAGGTTATAATTCCGTAACTGTTGAGATAAATAACGACAATGCTAAAAATGTAATTGTTTCATGTATATATAAGCCTCCAGATATTAACATTAACGAATTCAATGAAAAACTTGAACAATTTCTTCTAAAGATGACCTCAGAAAATAAGGCTATATATTTGATGGGGGACACTAATATTGATTTACTAAAAACAGATCAGCATAATTCAACTAACAATTTTATAAATATATTATTCTCTTACAATCTTTTTCCTTTGATATTCAAACCGACACGTGTCACATCTCACTCGGCTACATTAATTGACAATATTTTCACCAATATTCCAAACATAGCTCTTTCTGGTATCATCATTGATTGTACAACAGACCACTTACCAATTTTTGCAATGACTGAAAAAACGCTTAAGACAACAACAAACAAACAGATCAAATATAGATCAATAAATGATAACTCATTAATGGAGTTTAACAATAAAATGACCAATGTTGAGTGGCAAGAACTTTATAACTGCCATGACCCTAACATAGCATATTCTACCTTTTGTAACATAATACAACACGAATATGATAAGGCATTTCCAGTAAAAGTTAAAAAGGTTAGAAAAATTGGAAATAATGGTAAGCCATGGCTGCCCAGCGCAATCATCACCTCATGTAGAAATAAAAATAAACTTTAAACAATTTATTTTAAAAGCCCAACACCAGATAATTTACGAAAGTATAAGAAATACAAAAATAGCTTAAAACACATCTTAAGAATAGCTGAAAAAAGATTTTATCAAATGAAATTTACTGAAGCCTCCTCTAATATCAGAAAAACGTGGGAAATCTTAAATGAAATACTTAAAAGGAAAAGAATAAATTACAAACCATTGCCTTCTACATTCTATACAAATGGCAAAGCTTTTAAAGGTAATAAGGAAATTGCTAATGGATTCAATTCATTTTTCTCTAATGTTGGTAAAGATACTGCAGCAAGTATAGGGCCCTCAAACAGTACTCCCTGGGAGTTTTAAAGTAAAATGCCAGAAGTAGCTAGTTCTATCTTCCTTCAACCTGTAAACAATGAAGAAATCTTAAAAATAATTTCTTCATTGACAGATTCTGCTGCTGGCTCAGATAATATCAAGCCAAAAGTAATTAAATTAAACAGTCATCTGATAAGCTCACCACTTGCTTATATTATCAATCTGTCATTTATGCAGGGTATATTTCCAGATGATTTAAAGTTTGCAAAAGTCATTCCTATTCATAAAAAAAGATCGTAATGACATATTTACACATTACCGACCTGTATCTCTTCTGTCTGTATTCTCTAAAATTTATGAAAAATGTATGTCTCACAGGTTGCTTGATTTCTTAGAGAAACAAAACATCTTATATGATCATCAGTATGGTTTTAAGAAGGATCATTCAACATTCATGGCTGTTTTAAAATTTGTTGAATCAGTACGCCTTGCCTTAGAAGATCACAAATATTCCATAGGATTAATGTGTGACCTGTCTAAAGCTTTTGATTCATTAAATCACAATATATTGATGCAAAAATTAAATTATTATGGTATTCGGGGAACTGCCTCCGATTGGTTTCAAAGTTATCTTTCAAAAAGATCCCAGGTGGTACAATTTGAAGGGAAAACATCTGATATTGTTGAATTATCATGTGGTGTTCCACAAGGAACAATTCTAGGGCCTCTTTTGTTTATTATTTATATAAATGACCTTTACAGATCTTCAGAGGCTGCAGAAATGTTTCTATATGCAGACGATACAAATATACTATTTTCTGGTAACAATCTTGATGACCTCAATACCACAGTAAATGAGGAACTTTCTGTAATTAATGAATGGTTTAAGTGCAACAAACTCGCATTAAATCCAACAAAAACAAATTATATTATATTCAGGTCTCCAAAAAAAGTAATTGAACATGAAAAAATAAAAATCTACATGAATAACTCACTTTTAGATAGAACTATAGTTGGAAACTTTCTTGGCGTACTTATCGATGAAACATTATCGTGGAAACCTCATATTAAACACATTGAAACAAAAATTTCAAAAACATTAGGTGTACTTCATAGGGTAAAATTCAATTTAGATGGTAAAGCTTTGAAAACAATATATTATTCACTTATTTATTCATACTTGAACTATAACTGCATAATTTGGGGGACTGTCCCTCCATCTTATTTGACCAAGTTACACAGACTACAGAAACAATTTATTCGAATTTTCGATATAAACTGCCAACCTAGAGATCACACACTCCCACATTTCAAAAGAGCCAATATCCTGAATGTATTTCAAATAGTGTACATGAATATTGCAGTTTATGTTTTTAAATGCATTAAAGGTGTAAACAAACCCTGTAAGAGGCAATTCAAATATTATTTTACCCCTAGTAATGAAAATTCATGATCATTCCACAAGACAAGAATATAAACTTCGACCAGCAAAGTATAGAACTGATATTGGAAAATTCTCGATATGTAAACAAGGCACTGATATATGGAATGATGTACCTGGAGATTTACTTCGAATCAATTCTGTATCACACTTTAAGACAAAACTGAAGCAATATTTAATAAATCATAAACCATTGGTCTAAATGGAAGAACAATGAAATAACAATAACAAATCAGTAAATTCAATAGTGCATCTTTCCTTCAACATTATCATATCAAAGCAACAGTTATGATTAAATGCATAACTAAACATTCAGTGTTGAAGATGACCACAAAATTAACATATATCAATAAACATGACCTTAAACTGACCCATACTATTCTGTTTATCCTGAGACACATTTCTGGCACTCGATCAACTGTTCTTTTTCTAAAGGCATTGTACATGTGGTTGTGGGGGGGGGGACTGAGGTGGAGATGGGGTTCAGTGGTGTGTAGACATTTTGTAATTTTTGTTTCATTATTTTACGTTGTAATATGGATAATAGTCCCATTAGGGGGTCTTCCATCTTATTTGATGTATATGATTTTATTATAAACTGAAATAAAACACAATAACATTACATAACATAACAAGTCGAGAAATCAGAGCGTATCAGAGCTTATCTCTGTATATGAATCTTGTTTATGTCGGGTCGGGTCTCAAGACTTGTGACTATACGTCGGTGGGTTTAAAGCTTTTTCTACCGGTAACATTCCGTTTCCCCTTTATTGATATTTGTTTTTGCTGTGAGGCGTTCCCTATTTCGTTCGATAGGATAATTGGGTTTTCTTCAATATAGGTAGAGAAAAAGGCAAAAAGTAAAGTCAATAATAGCCCGCTTTTGCCAAGGGTGTTCCTTTTTTAATCCAGGAGGGTTTATATTTTAAAATACATTTGTAAAATGATCAAAATGATTTTTTGACCCTTCCCCTTCTGCACTACGGAGCGTTTTCTAGAATATATAACATCGCCACGACGGTAATTTTATTTATCAGCGCAATATGGTTTTAGTGTACATTGGTTTGATCTATGTTTTTGCAGGTGATTTGGAACTGTGTCCCAATGGTTATACTCTTTCATTGTGGCTAAAAATCGGAAAAACATCTGGAAGAAGTTTGTATTATCTCTCTAGTGGTGGACAGACATATCAATCGTATGGAATGACACTACTTTTGCAGAGTAGTAGAATTCTTGTCACTTTCACGACCAAGACCAAGAGCTGGTCGGTATCATATTCGAGTCCAACTGCAGCTGAGTGGCATCAAGTAGTAATGACGTGGAAGGATCCTTCGATAAGTGACATGTATACCAGCGACGTGGCAAAGCTTTCACTGTGGTGGGATGGCGTGAATGTGGCAACGGCTAATTCATGTATGGAAAATTAAATAAACAAATAGCATTAAAACCGTATTGTCACGGTGTTATAGCATGACGGTTACGACACCTCTGAAAACGAGATTAGACGACTACGATCACTGATTTATCCAATAAAATGGCCGCGATGGAACAGAAAACTAACGTTAGTGCATTATTTTCTTCTACTGCGTATTAATGAAAGGATGAACGATTTTTGTAGGCATCGCATTCGGTGATGCATTTAGTAATGTACGGGGTGATTCAAAAAGTAATGGACAAAATTTTATAGGCACGCTTACCTTTACCAGATTTGAATGAAACTTTGTACAAATAAAGATTAATCAATTATCTATTAGATGTTAAAATTTTATTAACTAAATGCAAATACATTTTGAGATAGAGCACTTCTCCTGGATCATGTTGCATACACCCGGAATCCATTTTTAAGGCTATTTTCATCATAATAACAAATGGATTTTCAATGAAAAGTTTCCTGGTGCAATATATTTTGCAACGCAAGATGTATATGAAAAGCCTATCGCAGTAAGTTCAATAATAATCCATATCATTCCTTATTATTCCTCATGATCATCCATTTGAATTATATTCAATCCTCAATGTATTCTCCTCCAAGTTCAATTAGTTTCTTCTGTCGGCGCACCCATGCAGAGAACACATGCCCAAATCCATCAGCAGCCATGGTGTTCAGCTGTTTTTGTACAGCCATTTGCAGCTCAGCTAATGTCTGAAAGGATTGTCCCTTTAATGCCATCTTAAGGGTGGGAAAAAGATAGAAATCACAAGGATCAGTATCAGGGCTATATGGAGCATGTGGAAGTTGAGGCATGTCCATGAATGCTGCAAGAGTATCCTGAACTAGCTTGGACCTGTGTGCTGGGGCATTGTCCATGTGTAACAAACGATTGTCTCTTGTGTCTTTCCTTTTCTTTTGAAGTGCCTGTCCAAGATTGCATTTTAGAACCTGAAAGTGAAATATCATTATTTATTTATTCATTCATTTATTTATTTATCTTTTTTCAAATTATTAATCATGCTTAAAGCTATTATGACTTCATTCTCTCCTTTTAAATTGACAATGATTAAAACGGATGAAAATATCATGTTTACCTTGGTGAAGTATTTCCCTGTGATAGTCTGATGAGGAGGAACATAGTGGGTCAAGATCACGCCATCATAATCGAAGAAAAGAACAATCATCACTTTGTCAGAGGATCTGCTTTGCCTAGCCTTTGTTGGGCGCCGCTCACCCTTTTTGATATACTGTGTAGATTGTAGTTTAGTTTCTGGATCTCTAAAGTATAGTCTAGCCATGATTCGTCAGTAGTGATTATACGCTTTAGGAATCCTTCTCCTTCAATGTTGTATTGCTTCAGAAAATCCTGCGCAACTTCGACACGTTGTTGCTTTTTTTCTTCGGTAAGAAGCTTAGGAATCCACTTGGCACACACCCTTTTCATATTTAGGTCGCATTTTACAATCCTTTGTACTGTAGAGTAGGACACATCTGTAATGGAACTTATTTCTCTCAGTGTCAATCTCCTGTCTGCATTTAGGATGGACTCTACATGGTGAATAGTGTTATCAGTGCGGCCAGTCTTGGGTCTTCCAGATCGCTTTAGATCTAAGACTCTCGTATCCCCTTCACTAAAGTGTTTGTACCATCGCTCAATGGCTTGCCTTGACAAGGCCTTGTCTCCATGTGTCTCTTTTATTTTCTTGACAACTACCTGCCTTGTCTCTCCAGTAGCTACCAAATATTCAATAACAATCCTTTGCTTAACTTTGATTTGTTGTAAAGTAGACATTTCTTGGATGTGTGTGAGTCTAAGAGTCTGATCTACTTTCTGACTCACTGTGACTCATCATTCTTAGAAATATCATTGTGATGTCATAGCACAATTGGTTGCTGAATTTAGAACTCAACAGCAAACACATGGGCATGTGAGTCTTGCTTGACAATTGCATTACCATGCTTGTTAGACATATCATGTGTGGTAATTGAGTCATTAAAACGAAATCAAGCAAAAATGACAAAAACATTCAATTATCATTAAAAAACAATTCCACCCATGCTTACCCTTGTTACCATGGTTACGCATAGCTGAAACAATTTCAAATGCATTTAAATGAGAATTCGACACAAAGTAGAGAATTGATTGATCTATTCACTGTGAAAAAATTAGACTGATTGGGTGAAATTTAGTATGCCTATAAAATTTTGTCCATTACTTTTGAATCACCTCTCGTATATTTTGAACGTATTCTTTGCAAATTGATGCCCGGGGATAACATGAAATAAGCGAAAAACTTTTGAGTTTGAAATTCAAAACAACACAAAATTGAGTAATTTGTTTATTTTTGTCGTTAGGGCATGGTCTACATTGCCTAACGACCTCTACATATGTTCATAAAAAGCAAATTGAGCATTGGAAACCACCTAATATGTACTCCTTAACCCATAATATTGTATTTTTAATTTGCAATTACGCAAAAAATTGATTGACGGTTGCGCGAACCTCGTTCAGATATGTATTTCAGATTCATTATTATTAATTTTGTCATATTCATCAGTTCTTGATGATAATTCTTATTTTGCCTCTTCATTGCTATCTTTTTGACTTGAATTGGTTTCAAGCAAGGCACACTTTTTTCCTTGCCCTATAGAGGCTCAAACAAGAGCGTCTCTTGCGAGTCCTGAAAACAAATATTACTAATCCAGTATTCCATTTCTTACCCATTATAACAATAACATGCAAAGAGGCTATCAGAACTAGCAACCTTGACTTGAAAGATGTACATGCACGTAACCGTTCGCTTAATATCTAATGTAAATCTAATACAATACGTTACCGTCCATAGAATTCAAACGTAGTCGTCTAACGACATTGCGTTTGAAACCTTATTATTTTCAATATGACCACATTCCTGTTCTGAATTTGTCATTTTATGGCTTGTTTATACACAGTTTACTAACTGTTAATAGTTTGAGTGGCTCTGAGGCATATATACTGAGAAATCACGAGAATGGACTAAAAAATATGAACTTGGACATCTCAGTCGGCAAGTCTACAGCTTATAATCCTTAGTAAACCACATGGCAGATTTGACCCAGTCTTCATAACCATCCATATATACCTCACCGAATGGAACTAGTTGAAAAGGAAATCTTATCTGTGAATCTTGCCTACAGGCGAGAAAGAGGACATGCTGCCTTTCCCATCCGCCATTTTTGTTATCGTTGCCGCAAATTTTTGCAAATCGCCTTGACGTAACCATCATGCTATAACACCGTGATTATACACGTCATTACACAACGACGAATGCTAACCATTTTAATAAGACGTTAATTTTCCTTGGTGTGTTCAGGGCGTTCATTAAGTTTGTACAAAGATACACTCAAACTTTGGTTTCTAGGTCAATCTGTCTGAAATTTTCACTCAGTATACCTCTACTATTCATGCATTAAAATCCTAAATTATAAGGAATGGGTTTATAAAAGAAAAAAGTTATGGTTGCTATAGTAAGTGAGTCGGGGGTAGGCGGAGCAGGCAAACGGATCAGTGTCGTTCGAATGTTCAATATTTTTATTTTGTCCTATTATATTTTTCTAACAGTATCTAAAGGTTATATGTGCTCAACGTGTCCGTCATGGTATCGACATCTCCTCTGTCTCATTAACCACTCCTTAAACAGATTGGGACACCCATTTGGGAAATATCTGGCGATTGATCTTGTATGGATCTCATCATTTCTCCTAAGGTCGATTGATGAATTCCACCAAAATCATTCTTAATTCTGCCTAAAACCCAAAATTCAAAGGGCGCCTTGTCAGGTGAGTAGAGAGCTTGCTTTTGTCGACCCATCTTCGATTTGTTTGAGATAATATCCTTGACAAGATATGAGGTGTTACGAGGGGCATTACCATCATGATTAGCATAGTATCTAGGGCCCTTTGGTTCTTCATGCAAAATACTCTCTTCTTGCGAATGGCATTGGTGAGAAATGAGAAGTTCGTCATTCGACCTATCAGGAGAATATTATGCCATCCATACAAGGATCAATCGCTAGATATTTCCCAAATGGGTTCCGCCATCTGTTTGAGGAATGGGTAGTGAGACAGAACAGGTGTATAGACCACGATGGACACTATGTTGAACACCCATACCCTTGAGATACTGTTAAAATTAAGATAACAAATGAACATTCAAACAAAACAGATCCCTTTGCCTGCTCCACCTACCCCCGACTCATGTAACTATAGCAACCATAACTTTTTTCTTTATGAACCCATTCCTTGTAATTTAGGATTTCAATGTATGAATAGTGGGGGTATACTGAGTGGAAATTTAAGGCAGATTAACTTAGAGACAAAATTTTTTAGAGCATCTTTGCACGAACTTAATGAACGCACTGTACATGTAGCCATAGTGCGTTGCTAAAAACTTGAAATACAGAGAACAATACAAAATATATCAGAATGAAAGCATTCGGCAACAAAACTTTAATGGTCAAAATGTTGAAACCTAATTGAAATGAAATTGAGAACATCCAGTTCGAATTCAAAACAACTTTACATGATTGCTTTGACTGATTTCTTTTTTAGTCGCATCACGTAACGTTCAAACAACTGTATTTAACGACTTCGTGATTGGACGTCCTAACAATGGGTTTGCTAGATACGGCGAAGCTGTTATTGATGAACTAATATTCTGGGATAAGGAGCTAGACGATGCTCGAGTAATGGGACTTTGGGAGTCATATAAAGGAAATCCTAATTCCACACTCACTTGTTCTTGAGTATAAAGGAGATCACGCTCCCATTTGAAATAAAAACGAAAGCGTGGCATGTATCGCACGCATATAATTGCACATAGTTTCTTGTACTTAAATGACCGTTCAGCTCTAGTGTTTATACTTAGAAAAGGAGTGAGAAACGGAAATGTTTCCTGAATACACTAGTTATGTGTGTTACTTTGAATGCACGGATACATCACAAAATATACTACACACTGGTGATCCACTCGATTACGCTGGCTGTAACAAAATGTCGAAACATCGAAGGTACGATTTTTCTCTTTTCCTTATTTCACACTTTGTAGGCAGAATTACCACGACATTTGTTAACACATTTTGTCGTATGATTTATCCACAACTATATCGAAGAATGATTTTGATTGCGCGAATGCGAATTAAACTACATAGATACACAAGCAAGAAGACAACATTCAAGAGACTTCACCATGTAATCCTATGGTGAGGGAATAACAGAAGGAAGAACCCTTGCGATTGGCATGGTCAGCTTCTCAATTTCTATGTGATGATGAACTATACCACCTGTTTGACAAATTGTCGTGACATTGTCACATTGAACAGCAATACCATTGATTCCAGTATTCTACTCTCTGTAGCAATACGTTATCACTTTGGACATGATGGCGCCTTATACTGCCCATTGTTTTGTTTTGGTATTTTGACGCCATAATGTTACGCTAATTGTCCCCAGTTTCGTGCGGCGTGTAATACTGGACTTCAATTCCAAATTACTAGAATCCTAAGCAGTTTTTATAAAATACAAGGATAGTAGTAAAAAGCCTGATTTATTCTCCATCAAATGATACCAAGATCATTATGTGACTGGCATGTATGACCGAGCAATCTTGACCATTATGAGAGGTGGTAAAACTAGCCAACATGCCAAGTTACCTTCCAATGTGGCAATTGATGTGTAATTGGCTTGGTATTCTTTTTCTGTAATGCCATGGTGACATTTGCTCCGATTTTTACTACGGCGCCCGGCCGATTGAGTATTGTGTTCAAAATTGTATTCAATTTTGAACACAATACTCAACCGGCCGGGCGCCGGTGCTGAAAATCGGGACAAATGTGACCACGGCATTACATTAAATTAGAGGACAGGCCTTCCATACTGAACTGGACTTGGGACTGAGTAACTCTCTTATGAAAAAAGGTTTAGCAAAAAGGTTAACCTACTGTAAAATGGTCCTGCAAAAATGGTTCAACTGACAACTGAGCAGTAGAGCCAACAAAAAGTTCTAAAAAGCAAGTCCCATGTACTGTGTATAGAACCCTACTATTCTTACTCTTGAAATTGATTCTAGCAATACTGCCCCACGTGAATCTACTTGTTTAGACTCAATAAACTAGAGTTCTTCTGAGAAATTGAGGATTCCAGCAAGGGATATTGACTTCACACGGTGATACAATTGACTCCAAAGCTGCATATCATCAAGTAGCACGCCTAACCATCGACTAGGTACACTGACAAAATATACCGTAGTACACTTTATATGTACGATGTCACTATTTAATCGATTTTAAGTAAAGGCAATGATCACGGTGTTATAGCCTGACGGTTACGCCACCTCTGAAAGCGAGGTTGGACGGCTACGTTCACTGATTTATCCAATAAAATGGCCGCGATGGAAGGGAAAACTAAGGTTGGTGCATTATTTTCTACTACTGTGTATCAATGAAAGGATGAACGAGTTATGTAAGCGTCGCATTCGGTGATGCATTCAGTCATGTATATTTTGAACGTAGTCTTTGCAAATTGATGCCCGGGGATAACATGAAATGGGAGAAAAACTGTCAGGTTTGAAATACAAAACTACACAAAATTTAGTAATTTGTTTATTTTTGTTGTTAGGGCATGGTCTACATTGCCTAAAAACCTTGGGGTATATAAATGTTACCTACATACGATCATACAAAGCCAATTGAGCATTGGAAACCACCTAATATGTTCTACTCAAGACCTAATAATGTATTTTGAATTTGTTAAAAAAATTGATGGACGGTTACGTGAACCTGATTCAAATATAAAACCCCGATTCATTGACATAAATTTTGTCATCTTCATCAGTACTTGATCCTTAATCTTCTTTTGCCTCTTCATTGCTATCTTTTACACTTTCATTGGTTTCATAAATAGAGCAAGCGACATTTTTTGCTTGCCCTATAGAGGCTGAAACAAGAGCGTCTCTTGAGAGTCCTGAAAACAAATATAGGAAATTCAATATTCCATTTCTTACCCATTGTAACAATAACATGGAAAGATGCTATCAGATCTAGCAACCTTGACTTGACAGATGTACAGGCACGTAACCGTCCGCTAAATATCTTATGTACAACTAATAATATACGTTACCGTCCATAGAATTCGATAGAAGTCATACGTAGTCGTCTAATGGCATTGCGTTTGAAACCTTATTATTTACGATATACACCACGCCCCTGTTTTGGATTTGTCATTTTATGCCTTGTTTATACACAGTTCACTTACAGTCAATTCTAAGCTACGATAGGTCAGGGATCTGGAGTCTTAAATTGAACGCGGTTCAACTTCGGCGTTCTCGTGTTACTCTGTGTTATTGTAAATATCTTTTTTTCAAATGTTATTTTTGTTGTTAATCTCGAATGAACTGTACATTTTTTCATTCTGGATATTGATAATTAATCAGCCTATTGTATTAGACTACGCAATAGTAACATGAAATGTTAGACTCAAATTGTCAAATTGGCAGATTTGAGCCAGTCTTTATAACCATCCATATATACGTCACCGAATGGAACTAGTTTAAAAGGAAATATTATCTGTGAATATTGCCTACAGGCGAGAAAGAGGACATGCTGCCTTTCCCATCCGCCATTTTTTGTTATCGTTACCGCAAAATTTTGCAAATCGCCTTGACGTAACCGTCATGCTATAAAACCGTGATGATGCAGGTGTGATGTAGATTTTAAAAATTAATCTTAGGAATACTTGAAAGATTTCATGTTTAATTTCGTGTGTATTCGTTTAGGAAGACATTATCATGTTACTCTTCCTGAACGAATACTAAAAAAATCAAACATGAAATCCTTAATGCATTCCTCAAATTATTTTTTTAAAACCTACATTAAACCTACATCATTGTCCCCTGCTTCAAATCGGTTAAATAGTGACATCGTACATCAAAAGTGTACTTCGGTATATTTTGTCACTGTACCTTGTCGATGGCTAGGCGTGTTTATACTATAGTACAACATATCTGAAGTGGAATTAAAGATAGACTCAAAGATAAAAAGGTCGAGGTCAAAATCAGGGTCAATTCTAAGCTACGATAGACCAGGGATCTGGAGTCTTAAATTGAACGCTGTTCAACTTCGGCGTTCTCGTTTTACTCTGTGTTATTGTAAATATCTTTTTTTCAAATGTTATTTTTGTTGTTAATCTCGAATGAACTGTACATTTTTTCATTCTGGATATTGATAATTAATCAGTCTATTGTATTAGACTACGCAATAGTAAACAGAGTTTATCCTACTTACATTTTAACTAGTAACTAGCTTTATTAGATAATACATAGAATTCGAGTAAATTTAAAACGAAATCCTATTCAACATAAATGTTGTGACAGGTTATGTCTATGCTCATTGGTGTCGGAAGGGGAGGGCGTTTGGGGCGGTCCCCCACCCCCTTTCCCGGATTTTTTAGATTTGAAACCGAGCCTAGAATTGAAAGCTCTAGAGCTAAATGTAATAATGACAGAAATGATACTATGTCAGTATCTAGTCTACATCAATCATAGTTTCTCAGGAGGTTTCATACAGTACTGTATGTAAATACTTTGAAGAATAAATGCAAAAAGTTTTTTAGTCAAACCCAAGTTAAGTTTACTATTTAGAATGTTGTGCTGAGATATGTTCAGGATGCACCAGCGGGTCTAAATTTGAAATTTTTCTGGTCCCGGGGGGCATGGTCGTGCGTGTGGTGCGCTTCACGCGCGACCTATCCATACCCAAAAGTCGCCCCTCCGCCTTTTGCAAATCCTTCTGATTCCCCTGGTATTTGTTTCCGCGGTTCACTTTTACACATAGCTAGTCACGGTATGATAACTGCCCTCATTCAAAGTCTAATACAAGACTCGTTCATACAAATCGTTCACAATTCATTAAGTCTGGTGCTAACACCCCAGTCACATTTCCCACGGCCGCCGTGCGATCTATCATTTCTGCGGCGCCTTCCCTGCGGCCTGTAAAAATCTGCATTCGCCGTACGGAGACCGCAAGGCGCCCGTAGTTTTCCTACGCTCGCCGCAGAAATTCACCGATTTAATTGATCATCGGTCGACAAAAATAAAAAATGTGTTAAAATGCATTAATTTATTTGCAAATTTATTGATGCTTCCTACCGTATCTGTATTTTTACCGTTGTCAACATTTAAAGTTGATAAAACGCTTAGATTCCATCAAATAACGTCCTTGAAAAGATTTCCCGGGAAGCATACTACCGGACCCCGCGTGTGCGTACCAACTCAAAATATAGCCCTACGCCCATGGTAGCCTACACACGACATGTCTTTTCTTTGTTTTTGACATTGCATACACCGATCCTAATTTCATTAATTAGGAACGTCATTCCGCTGCTCTCGACAAAATCGTTTTTAGATAAAGCTATTGAGATTTCACATAAATATTTAACTAAAAATTGGTTTAACAATTAAGTAAATACAAATCATTTATGCATCACGGAATAAATGTACCTGGAGTTCTTAATATGTCACGTCTCTTTACGGGTGAAGTTGTAATATTACTTTTTCTTAAACAACCATTGTAAAACATGTTTTTTAAAAGGGACTCATTATCTATGCTTTATTCGATAAACGCAGTCACTTGACTGTTGTATTTGACTATGTATACAGGTTGCCTATGCAGAGCAAATCTGTTATATTTCAGGAGTCTCCAGCACAACATAGAGGATTTGTCTTTAACGTATCAAATATTCTAAATGTGTTATGTTAAAAAGTGTGGCCATTTTGAAACATCTAGATAATAG